CTCGTCATTTTGCCAAGGATGTAATACGTCAGAACGTAAACATTGACAGCTTAAGTGCAAAAATGGATGGTAAGGTAATACTGGCTAAACGTGCATGCAAAAAACGCATTCTGGCAGATAACTAACGACTCCAGTAGAATAACACATGTCCTGGCGCAGGAGGAACAAAAAAAAGCGTATGCGGCTTCCTTTCTGTAAAACCTGTGTCCAAACTGCTTTTTTCTGATTTACTCACTTTTTGTCTCTATTTAGGGTAAACAAATCATTCGCTTTTTTTAGTACACGTCGCCTCGCTGTTCACATCCACCGCGTCCTCCGAATGCCTGTGCTTTACTCAGAGTACCCTTTACTGTGGGGCCCACTACGATACGATGAAACGGAGCATATTTGCATTGATCGTTGCCCATAACAAAAACGTCAACGAGACGTGGCGCACATATTATCCAACACCATTAAAAATGAAACAACAATCGCGCTCGTGGCCTCATCATTGAAAATTCTTAACTCACAGAGCCTATAGTTTTCACGATAGCACCGTTCAGCTGGGATATCAACTCTTTTCCCGCATGCTAAGTTATCGCATTTGAAAAAAATAGACCCATTACATTGGAGACATTGTTTCTGCAGCTGCCTCCCCCAAATAACATTAAATGTGCGTTTATTTTTCTCGCCTTCGGGGTCATCACCTTTTGTCCAAGCCTATGACTTATTTCTTGTGTAACACAAATTACGCACTAGGCCTTTTAGAGTTCGTGAAAATGTAACTTCAATACAAAAGTTCAATTAAACTGCGAAACCTTCCAGCCTGTTCTATATATTGATTTAGAAGAATAACAAGAAGATTCCTTGCGAAATGCGCCGCGATTCGCGGGTTCAATTTAGGCCGCATCGGGCGCATTACGGTGGAGCCGAAATGTTAGAGGCCCGTGTATTGAGCGATGTCACTACATGCTGAACACCAGGTGGTCCATATGTCCAGAGTCATCTACTACGGCGTGCCTCATATTACATCGTGGTTTGGGGGGAAAAACCTTCAGATAATAAATTTTGTACAGCTAGCTGCGAGAGTATAACACTATTATGCCGTCGTCATCAGCTATTCTTACGTCCACCACCAGTGTGAAGCATTTCTTTAAGGCATATAATATTACTGGCTTGTTCCAACCGGCTAAGGTACGCTGGCCAATTTTGAACATGTGACAAGGCCTTCGAATGACCATAGGCATGTGCAAGGTTCTCCTCTCCTTATTACGTCAATGCATGGGGCAGACTTTGCAGCACCCTTTTCCCCCGTATGCCCCATCCTTCTTTTGCGCACAGCCATGTAAATGATGACAAGTTCGTAGGCTGGCGTCTCCTTCACACGGCAGCCATGAAGAAGACAAGCCTGGTTCTTGAAACACTGGCACACAAACCAAGTTTATGAATTTTTGATCGCAAACCTGTGTCTTCCCAAACTGGCATACTTATGGAAGGCCCACAATTGTGTTTTTGCTGCGCATGAACAGCTTTGTTATTACGACAAATTTTCACGTAATTGCTTAAAGAACCTAGTGCCATGCCGTTTTCCTATTGATTGTGAGCTGTAACAAGCAGGGTAAAGATCTCGTACTCTTATCAGGCCAGGTTTTGTCATAAATAACCGTGTTATTTTTTCTTTGTCCTTTAGAGAATGGAGAGATCAAGTTTTAACTCCAAATAACCCGTCGCCGGTCTGTAAACACGAGCTGCTCTGACAGTGTTGTTGGTGTTTGACGCGCCAGCTTGAAAGGTCTCAAAGAAATTGTGCCATCCGAAGAAAACACTTTTTCCTGATAAACCGGCCGGCGCAAAACACATAAAGCATCCAAACGCTTACTTATCTATACGCACTCGCTCATGCGATATGGAGACAACAGTACGTGGCTTCAGCTAGGTGGTGGCAGTGGCGTGCTGCCGTAACTCAGTGGTATAAAGATAAAAAAAAATCTGACGAAGAACTTCGCTTCCATAATGTATTTCTGGTTCAGTAGAGACACACAGCAGCCTTTTCATAAAATTGAAGTGCCAAAATTTGAAGCGCCTGCTTTCTAAGAACATTTCATCGCCGCCAATTCGAAACACACGGGACGGAGTCGTAATAATTAGATAGATATGTGATGTTTGACGTCCCGAAACCATCATATGAATATAAGAGATGCCACAAAGGAGGGCTCCGAAAATTTCAACCACCTGATGTTCTTTGACGTGCACCTAAATCTGAGCACACCGGCCTACAACATTACCGCCTTCATCGGAAGCTGAGCCGCCGCATCCGGGATGCGATCCCGCGACCTTCGTAACAGCAGCCAAGTACCATAGCCCCTATAGACCACCGCGGCGGGGCGAGTCGTAATATATCACACACTCGGGAATATCAAACTACTTGTAGTGAGACACTGCAATTTTACCTGTATGTGTGAATAAGTCTCTGCTCTGCTGTATAAAACTAGGAGCCATTTTTGATAACATGTTTTTTTTTGTCAGTTCTGACTCCATTCATTATTTTCGCTTATATACCATTGCCCTATCCGGCAGACAGTCACTGCCGTCGTGGAGAAAAGGCGCTACACGCAAATGTCGCTAAATGCCGTTTATAAAGAATATTAGGTGGTTCAAATTAGACCGTATCTTCTACTAGGGTTATTGCAACAATAACGCGACACGGTTAAATAAACGGTGAGGCCACCTCGTATTTTAACACCGATGATGGAGTCGCACCCATGTCTGACAGTGGGACATCTGCAACCACCTGCCATTCTGCATGACTTCACTCTCACCCGATAGGGGCCAAAAAGTATTCTCAGCGAAGCGAATACCCTCTTTCTCACCCCGTAATTGTATACCGCTCCTTATGATAGCTGCGTGCACTGCCATGATGAGACGCGCTGTTTGGTAAATGACTTTTTCTAGGTGCCAAGTTTTCACCGTGGCGTTTGGTACATATATCTTGAAATCATGGAGTAGCGAACGTTGCTCTGTATTAGGGGTCGATAATCTTGTGATGTGACGGGCCGAGTTCCATAACGTTGACAGTGTATACGGGCCATGGCAACATGCGGGTTGCGGGTCGTATACGTTGCACACCCCCGGCTCTAGATAAAAAGTAAAACCTTTTTGAGCTTCTAGGCGTTTGTCAATTTACTTCTTTCACGCTACGTGTATAAATCTAGCTCGCGTGAATAAAAGGTCTCACTTGTCATTAGGTGATTTTTGCTATATCCTTATTTCGCAGCGACCATTGTCCGAATTCTCTCTGCGAGTTGCGCGTATTATGCTACTAGCGCGCAGGCGTGTAGACTGGGTCAAAGGACTGCTTGTCAATGCAACTTACTGTGTATGTGTTATCAATTCGGTTTTAGCAATATAAGCAGAATCTATAAATTCGAGATCAAATCCCGGTGGCGGCGGCTGCATTTTCGATTGAGGCAGAAATACTGTATGCTTGTGTGCTCATATTTGGGTGCATGTAAAGAACCCCAGGTCGTCTCTCATAATCATTTGGCGGTTTTGGGACGATAAACCCCGCATATCAATCAAATATAAATTTGACATTATTCTGGACATACATTTTTTGTTTGCGGTTCATTTGTTCGTGCTAAGAAATGAATTCAGCGGCTTCAATTGCCGCACGACTTCAAATGAGGCAAACGTAATGGATTACTGTCGACTAAATGCCACGACCTGGAGTTCTTTGACACATGCACCAAAATCCAAGTGCGCTTGTGCGTTCCCCTCTCCCCTTTATCGAAGAATGGGGAGGTTTTGGTTGCTTGCTGCTAGTGAGGCCACTCCATCGGAAGAAGATGACGTCATCTTAAAATCTCATGTCCGCAAAATTTTCTAGAACGATAGATTTACTCCTCTGGTACAAACTCATAAACGACTCTGCGCATGTGTTTGGCCTTGAAGATAAGCCAACGTCGATTACTTCAATTTCCTGCTTGCACGTCCGTCGTCATAGCAACAGGCATGCGCAGTGGCAGTTCGTTCTCTCCAGGACACCCGTCTCCTGCGTGCCCGTCTCCGTAGTTAGGCGAGAGCTGCGAGCCGGCGTGTACGGCCGCCTCACGACCTCAACACAAGTAGTGCAACTTCCGCGCGCTCGCGATCCGAGCACAAATGTGGACACGTGCCGCTACTCGCCGAGTGGGGGCACCTACGTGCGGTACATCACGGCTTTTAGTATTGTTTGCGGCTATCGCTCAGCAGGCTTGGTTGTACCCCGTGCAACCACGGCACTTTTTTTGTAGCTTGTTGAAGAAGTCAAGCTTATAGATTTATAATACTATAAAGTTTTAGATGTTCTTCTAGTGAGCAGAATTAAAGTAGTATTTTTTAACACTATTAAGTAGGTTATAAAGGGTATTTCATAAACTATCAAATACAAGTCACTTTGAGACGTATCACAGTAGAATGGCAATGAGTCAATCTCATACGATGCATTTTTCTTCAACATTGGAGGTCCTACGTTTTTCTGTGTTATCTGTGAAAACTTTTTTTTTCATTTTTATAGCGCTATATTTCACTAAAGGTAACCACGGGCTCCAACAGTGTTGGAAGTCTAAAATTTTTGAACCTCATGATCTCTTAAGATCTGCGTTCGTGTGAGAGCAAGCATAAAGAAAATTGTTTTGAACGCAGTCTCCCGCAATACCTTCTGCTTGAAAGATCTTGATTGTATTCCTACTCGTACAGTACTTATGGATTCAGACGAGGTATTGAACTCTTTAGTTTTATGTCAGGTATATGCCTAACTGCTCAAAAAACCTACGTCATGTCACCATGAGTTTAATCTCTATTGACAACTTTGGCTCTCGTCTACTTGTTTGATTTAATAACACATTGATAAAATCAGAAATTATGATGATGGAAACAAATGTATGTTCGTTACGTAGCCATAAATTGTGATAATTAAAACCATGGGTACTTTTCCACACGACATATCAAGCCTCCTAAACATATGTAAACAAAGTATACAATTGTTTTTCAGAATTTATTTATTGGAAGACTCTTTGAGTGTGCGCATGAAAAAGACAGAGTGAAAGCAGATATTATATTTTGCTGAATAAATACTGCGGAGACAGGACCGTATATTACAATCACAGGACAGTTTTAACAGTATATAAAAATACAAGTTCCTTAAATAGCAGAAAGGTGGTTTCCAGGGTGTGTATATACATACAGCAGGTAAGTGAAGATTCAGTGATAAGCAGTAGCCCTGTGTATATACATGTATACCTTACTTTGATGTGCACAACAGAAACGTTTTGATCTTGTATGTAGATACGAGCCTCCATGCTCCGAAAAGAACAATGCAGCAAATGCAGTACAATCACAACCAGAACAAAAACAACAAAAACACTGACATTCACATCTAAGCGGGGAGAATGACAATGGCTGTGGTACGTACGTGTGTCCCTGAAGTTACACTGACGCAAAGTTTTCGAGGCGAAAGCTGGCGCAGCATAAAAACTTCACTCTATTTCACACAACTATTTATCCTGACTTTCTAAATGCGCGTTTCCAACTCCGTTGTTATTGTGATTCTGAAATTAGCATGACGGCGTTTTGTGGAATAGATAAAAGATGTGTTTGAACACAGATAGCGGAGATGCCGCTGTAGAGGACGTTTCAAGAAGGTGTCTTGTCTTCCACATGACAGCAATTAACTGTTGATGTCGTGAACACAAGACCACTTGTCAAAATGTTCGCTGCAGCTGCGCTCCCTATCGAAAAATCTTTCGTCTTTTCAAGCATCGATCTTGTTTCTGCTCTACTAATATAAATGTACAGGCTTTCTGTTTGTGTTTCATCTACGGGAAACAAAAACATACTCGCATCAGCAGCCATTTGCTGTGACATCGCGTCAGAGCACTATTGCAGGAAAGCATAAAGGTGACCCAGTAGATTGCGCATGCGCATTATCTCGCTGCCTATCATACTCGTAATGTTGACGGAACATTTAGCAGAGGCAGGCGTTAGTACGAGTACAATGCCCAAGAAGTATTTCGCGTAAACAGTACTGCAAAACGACCTGGAGAAATCATTTCAAATGCCTCAAGCGTACACATACACAAATGTGAAGTGACACGACCAACAATAACTCCGAAAACAAGGACATTCAGAAATACACAAGTGCACTCTCGAAGAAAGAGTGAGAATCGAATGACAGCGCATCTCACGCTGTACAAAGACAAAAAGGAAACTGATTGTTCGGCATCTGTACAATCGTAAACGTTGCCAAGGTATTGTGAAGGTAGCTGTCACTGAAGCAGAGAGTGAGTGACCTTATCAAAAAATTCAATGCGGACGTACAAGTGCTTATCTCTCTATGAAATGAAAACAGCGGGTGTTGGCCGTTTATATTACGCAACCTTCTCTATTAGCCTTCCTTGCTTCACCTTCCCTCGTGTAGGTTTACAAAGATTGGTTAATCTCCCTGCCTGTAGTCCGTATTTCTCTCTATTTAGATTAAATAAGGCATTCGCTCTTTTTGTACATGTCACCTGGCTGTTCACATCCACCGCGTCTATCATAGCGCCATAAATATATGCCCAGCTACATTACATTCAAGTAGAACCAGAATTCTATTCACAAAAAGTATGGCGTGAATCAGCATTGTTCGTGCGTCTTTCAAGTGCGTGTACTTTACTCTGGATACCCTGTAATCTGGGGCTCACTAAGGCATCACCGTGGACGTTCTGACTGAATGTTTGTACTTTTGTCTTTCTCAGGATTACGAGAAAAAAATTTCACTCGGACGCCTGATATAGTTTTGGCTGATGAATTTGCTTCTCCGCAAGGAATCTTGGTGAAAGACCCTGTATATCCGTGTCCTCCAAGAAGGAAGGAAGGCGTTTCGCGCCTCATCTTTCTGAGATGATCAGCCAACAGTCTCACGAAGAAATCTTTGTACCACACTTATTCACAAACGCGCCGCGGAACGCTAAGATATCCAATCTATCCAGGCGCCAGCTGTTAGATATGAATAGGTAGTTGCTCCGTATTTGGGCCTATACCTTGCGAAAACAAAACGTTCCACTTCTAAATGACGTCGTCTGATCAACGCGTTACGAAGTTTTGTTTCTGAACTTTGCGACGCTAATTTGACAAGCACAATAACATTTTCTTCCACGGGTGCATGACGTAAACGTTCACGAAAGACAGTTCACGAAATGATGCAGCTGTGCCTCTTTGCTCCGTTGCTGTACAACCTTTTGTGCGAGTGGACTTGTGCGGGGCACGACTGTCGCCGCCGGTTTGAGTTGGAGAGGACCTCGGGAAGCTTGCTTTGCATGAGAACCTCGTGAAAGACTTGCGTCACGTTGAGACCTTCGAGGGCCGAGCACTCGACGTAGCCGTGTTCCCAGTCGATTGTGGCGACGGTCTCCGCAACTTCGTAACCCACGGTGCGTCTGAACGCCAGGTCGGACTTGTTGCCCACGATCACGACCGGGGGCATGCCCTTGCCGAGTTCGGCGCGGGCTTCTTGAATTTCACTTCGAAGGCGACGGACCTGCGGAAGAAAAATAAGTATTTGTTCAATGCTGCTGCGTCAAGGAAAAAATATATCATTATAATTTTCGAAGATATCGACAATCAATAACAGGTCTGGGAAAGAAACATCACATGCTTTTGCACCACGGTGTAACGTCTTTCAGCGGCGCAGTTCATAAAAAGAATAATCAAGATATCGGGACACTGATGGAACGATGACGCACTGGAAGCGCTTGTATTACAATATCGATCGTGCCTCGTGTGACGCTCGCGCCAACCTGGGCAGTGACGTCACGTGCATAGAAGCGATTTACCTATTGGGCAATTTTTTCTTGGGGTTCGATGAAATACATTTTTAAAATCCGAAGCAGATGAACAAGTGACTTCGCCTTCCGTGCTATTCAGGACAGCTGCTCAGGTGCTAAGCTTTCGCTACTGAGTATGTATCACTAATTCTGCAAAATCCAGCCTAATTCGCATAGTTACTTGTTATTATTACGCTTTCTCAGATTTATGGTTGCGATGATTGATATGCGGAGTTTACCGTCCCAAAACCACAGCATGATTATGAGAGATGCCGTAGTGGAGGGTCCTGCAAATTTCGACCACCTGGGGTTCTTTAACGTGCACCTAAATCTGAGCACACGGGCCTACAGCATTTTGGCCTCCATCGAAAATGCGCGATGGTGGCGAACATTTTCGATCTCGCGACCTGCGGGTCAGCAGCCGAGTACCGTAGCCACTAGACCACCGCGCGGGGCCATTTCTTGTTGCCAAGCAACAGAAGTTTCTTTCGTGTCTTTGACTTATCAATAGGCTAAACAACCACTGAATATGATTGTTTCTGGCTTTATCAAGTATATGCGATGACTGTTTCTCAGAAAACCTCCCAGTGTAGCACATAATCAGCGTGGCCCCAACTGTATATCTTACTACGGCGGCCTTATACGGTGTTACCATCGGATTGCAACAAGATAATAAGAACCCACATTGAGTTGAATGAGCCTTCGTAATTAACAAATATATAAGAGAATCACAATAACGGTGAATCTGTGAGCGCTCTGTCTAGTTCTGCTTTTTCACCATCCATGCGGTTTCTATGCGCGGCTGCGGAAATTGCGTACACCGGCGATCGCGATAGTTCGCCTTTTTTGACGATTCGAATTGATCACGCACCTCTTCGAAGGACTCCATGTCGTCGATAGAGTAGACTAAGATGAATGCCTGCGCCGTTGTGATGGCCAGCTGTTTCATGGCCGGGAACTGGTAGCTCCCGCTGGTGTCCAGCAGCTCCAGGGTGAGCCTGTGGCGCCCTCCGTTGGAGGCACCGTAGTCTCGCCGGTGCAGCTCCTCCACGGTGGCGTTGTGCTGCTTCGGCACCCGGCCGTACAGGAATTGTTGAATGAGTGAAGACTTGCCGACGCGGGCCGCTCCCATCACGGTGATGCGGACTGTGGTCGATGGCTGGCAGGTTCCGGGAGCAGCGATTCCACCGTTGCCGGTGGGACTGGAGGAAGGCAGGTGAAGTCCGCTTAAGGTCGGCATGTCGTGTGTGTGCTCGTTGTCGCGCTGCTGGTGCTTCTTCTTGCCACCACGCTTTGGGCGCTCGCTCTTGGAGAGGTTCGCGGTGGAATCCCTTCTATCTTCGAGCGATTCCCCGACACCTGAGAGTACCTGCGTAGCCAATAAAATATGCATGGTCAGATGCATTGCAGTCAGTTAACTTCGGTAAGGTGTAAGACACTTTCGGAAAGGTTTATATTGACGAAGCAAAAATGGGCTGATTCATTCATAAAAGTTATGGCAGAACAGCGAAATAAACGGGCCAGCGCTGTGTCCCGTGTTCTCAGCGTCCTTATTTTTGGCTATTCTGCATTAACAGTATACGTTGATGCGACCTTCACGAGCCCCCGCTTTGCGATTCTTGAACGGTGGCGAATAAGTCTCATGTGGAAGGCACTAGGAGGTCACAAGAAGCAGCTTAGCAACACTGCTGTGATAGCACTGTGACTAGGTGTGCGGAATCATATCTCGGGACTTGTAATCACCACTGTCGGAAAAAATTTGAAGAGAAGAAAAATAAAAAGAAATGGGGAACCCTTAAGCTTCGCATTTCAGAGTTGAACACTACAGCGAAATCCGGCCCCTTGTGTGCCTTTGAACCCCTAAGTGCATACTTATTATTACGTTTTGTCACACACACACACACACACACACACACACACACACACACACACACACACACACACACACACACACACACACACACACACACACACACACACACACACACACACACACATATATATATATATATATATATATATATATATATATATATTATTACGACGTGTATGTGCCGGATTGATAAGAGGGAATAGAAGTGTGGACTTGGGAAGAAGAAGATCTCTCGGCAGTTTTATCCGGGGCGGCCTCGCCATCCCAGCTTCCGTTCAATAAACCCCCGTACCCCTACTTCAGGCGTAACAGAGTGGTGGAAGGTGCTGGGTACAGTATACGTCGACGAACCACGGAGCCACAGCTGTTCGAACTTCGCCGGAGCCGTCGTATTGCCGGTCTGCCACCGACACCAACTGCCATGGCCGAGAGCGAAGGTCACGCCTTCTCAACCACACAAAGGTCAGTGCCAGCTGCACCTCGATATCACTATATGGAACCCCGCCCGTTCGCGGGAAGAGCAGGAGAAGATGTGGATGCGTGGCTGACACAGTACAAAAGGGTGAGCCGGTACAACTGCTGGGATGCCACCGACCAACTGGGAAATGTCGCGCTGTTTCTCACGGAAACAGCTCTGATGTGGTACGAAAACCACGAAGATTCCTTAACAACGTGGGATCGTTTCACTGAAGAGCTCAAGAAATGCTTCGGCGACTCTGATTCAAAAAAGAAGAGCGCGGAGCGCACGTTGGCTCAAAGAGCTCAGACTCCTGGAGAAACGTGTACCACCTACATAGAGGAGGTCCTGATGCTCTGCAAGATCATAGACCCGTACATGACTGAAGAGGACATGGTCGGCCACCTTCTGAAGGGTATAGCAGAGGACGTCTACAACTTTTTGATAGGCAGGGAAGACCTCACTTCCGTCTCCGCCGTCCAACGTCACTGCCGTACTTTTGAGAAGCTAAAGACCCGTCGTATTGCCCCGAAATTTGGTAGGCTGGCAAATGTAACAACGGTCGCCAGCGTCGACGTGAGCCCGCCCGCCGACCTTGCCGCTACTATCCGGACAATAGTGCGGGAAGAACTACAGCGACAAGACACACTGTTCCACGACACCATCCGCCATACGCCTACCTGTTCATCCTACTACCCGGCCCCGTTCGCTCCTCTGCCACCATCAGTATGTGTGACAGACGTTCGCGAAGCTAGGGCTTCGTGGCCACGCCGAGACTCATTCGCGTCTGACCAGCGGTATGACCAACGTCTTCGTCCCGGCCCCGCCCCACAGAGGCGCGCAGCTCCCGTTCAGCAATCTGCTCCACCCCGTTCGGTTAGGCGACCCTACACAGCCCAGCGCTCTCAGCAGTGGTTCGGCGAGCGACCCCTACCCATCTGCTACAACTGTGGCGTCGAAGGCCACATTGCCAGGTACTGTAACTACCGGCAGCCGCCGAGGTACGACTGGCCACCGAGATCCCACCTGTCCGACTTTGCACAAGCACCAACGTTCCCTGGAAGCGCATCTTACGAGACACCAAGGCCGCTGCGAAACCGTTCTCCAGCCTCTGACCGCAGTCTGACACCCCCGCCAGCCCCTCGCTCCAATCGGTCGCCATCTCCTAGGCGCCGCTACCCTTCGCCGCCTCCGGAAAACTAGGCAGCGCGGCCGCTGGGGGTGAGGTCGCTGGTGATTCGCTGCAAGAAGAGATACCTCCACCGGTGCTTATGTTTAAAAACAAAGTGCAAGTTTTTGTTGATGGTGTACATACGATGGCTTTGGTGGACACTGGAGCCGCCGTGTCGATCATGAGTGCTGCGTTCAAAGCTCGTTTGGGAAGAAAGGTGACCTTTTTGTTGGAGAAAGCGATAACGTTCTGTGGCGTGGGCGGCAACTCGTTGTGTCCGATTGGTGTTTGTACCGCGGCAGTGTTACTGAGTGATCAAGTGTTTGTGACAGAATTCACGGTTCTTCCGCGGAGCACTCATGACATCATTCTAGGCATAGATTTCTTGCGAATGTGCGGAGCCACTGTAGACTGTCGAAATGGCGAAGTTATCATAAGTGACGCTGTTCCTCATGGACTTATCGAGAATTCGGGTACGGAAAGCGGTGCGCTCCGAGTCTATGAAGATACCGTTATCCCGGCCTTCTGTGCTGTGCGCGTTCCAGTAGCTTCTTCGCATATTAACGACAATAAGACCAGTTTCGATGCGCTAGTGGAGCCTTTCCATCTAAGTTGTATAAAGAAGAACACGTTGGTACCCCACAGCATAGTTTCAGTGAGTGAAGGTCGTTCAGACCTTTGGACAACGAATTATTCAAACGAACCGGTGCTGCTACCAGGAGGACTTAAGCTAGCGTCGTTTAAAGAATACTCGCCAACAACAGTAGCTGTCCTCAGTGACGTTCGACGGGATGAACAAGTGACCGCCTGCTCAGACAGTTCGAAAGTTTTACCTATGGTTGATAAGGCGCTGACTGCCGACAAGCGCAGAATGCTTGTGGACGTTTTGTTAAAGTACTTGCAAGTTTTTGATTTCTCCCAGAGTGACCCTACGCCTTCCATTCCTCCATTTCGTATACGCCATAGGATAAATACACAAACAGCACAGCCAATCCGACAAAAACCGTACCGAGTATCGCCGTCCGAGCGCAAGATAATAGACAATCAAGTGCGTGAAATGCTCCAAAAGGGCATCATTCAAGAATCATCGAGCCCTTGGGCAGCTCCTGTGATCCTTGTGAAAAAGAAAGACGGTACCTGGAGATTTTGTGTCGACTATCGCCGTTTGAACTCCATCACGAAGAAAGATGTTTATCCTCTTCCACGAATTGATGACGCCTTGGACTGTCTCCATTCGGCGTCATACTTCTCGTCTATCGATTTACGTTCAGGCTACTGGCAGATTCCCATGCATCCAGCGGACAAGGAAAAGACTGCTTTCATAACTCCAGACGGACTTTATGAATTTAACGTGATGCCGTTTGGATTATGTAATGCTCCTGCCACATTCGAAAGGTTCATGGATACCATTCTGCGTGGCCTAAAATGGAACGTCTGTATGTGCTACCTAGATGACATCGTGATCTTTGGGCGCACATTTCGTGAGCACAACGAACGCGTGGACATTGTTCTGGAATGCATTAGAAACGCTGGCCTTGTTCTTAATTCGAAGAAGTGTCATTTCGGCGAGCGACAAACCTTAGTACTTGGGCACCTTGTGAACAAAGATGGGATCAGGCCTGACCCGAGCAAGACAGCAGCTGTGAAAGCGTGCAAACCACCTCGCTCAACGAAAGAGCTTCGCAGCTTCCTAGGCCTGTGCTCGTACTTTCGCCGATTTATTCCCGCATTCGCCGACGTTGCCTTCCCCTTGACCAGTCTGCTACGTCAAGGTACTAGCTTTGAATGGACACATGACTGTGAGACGTCTTTCAACCAACTCAAGTTCTTACTCACATCGCAGCCCATTCTCCGACACTTCGACCCTTCGGCGCCGACCGAAGTTCATATCTGGCCGCCTGGCACGCTGGGCCCTCCGCTTGCAAGAGTATGACTTCACGGTGTCATACAAGAGTGGCAGGAAGCACGCTGACGCTGACTGCCTTTCGCGGATGCCGCTTACTACAACACTTTGCGATGCCGACAATTTCGATCACCTAATTGCGTCAGTGACTCCAGTATTCCCGGACAAGACCACCTTTGAAAATGAACAGCGGAAGGATGTCAGCTTGGAGCCATTATTTGCTGAAGCACGAGCGTCCACTTTGGCCGGACGCTTTTGCGTTCGTGAAGGATTACTTTACAAGAGGACCTTCTCGGCCACGGGTTCCCGCTTCTTGCTGGTGGTGCCGCACACACTCCGTTCCTCCATTCTGCGCGCCATGCACGACGACGCAACTTCGGGTCACCTGGGAATGACGCGAACACTCCTTCGTACACAGGAGCGATTTTACTGGCCACGCATGCGCCAGTCAGTTGAGCAGTACGTGGCCAGTTGCACTCAATGCCAGACGCACAAATCAGTCACGACTGCTCCGGCTGGACTTCTACAGCCTGTGACGCCTCCCAGCACTCCCTTTGAGCAAGTTGGCATTGACCTCGTGGGCCCTTTTCCACGCTCGGCAAAAGGCAACCGTTGGATTGTAGTGTGCGCCGATTACCTGACCCGCTACTGCGAAACGGCCGCCCTGCCATCTGCGACTGCTGGCGAAGTATCCTCCTTTCTCCTGCACTCTATCATACTGCGCCACGGACCTCCTCGCGTCATAATAAGCGACCGCGGCCGTCAGTTTACGGCAGACGTTGTTGAGGAACTGCTCCGTATGTGTGGCTCGGAACTTCGTCATTCGACACCTTACCATCCACAGACGAATGGCCTTACTGAACGAACGAACCGGACACTGGTGAATATGCTTTCAATGTACGTGGCGTCCAATCACAAGAACTGGGACGACGTCTTACCGTTCATCACGTATGCCTTCAACACTG